AACTGTTGAAATTAAGTGTATCGCAAAGTTTTATTCAGAAAAAATAAACCAGTTTTATTTAAGAAAGGACTTGTGTCGCTAAAGTTTCGTCGGAACGAATTTACGGAAAATTAACTAACGAACGGAGACGTAACAATATCATTGTGAAAAGAAAAAGACTTAAATAGCAACACAGGAAGACAGTTCAATTTTAGATTCTTGATATCATTATTATAAAAATTCGCTATTTTATAACGTCGCTTTATCAAGAGTTCGATAAAAAAAAAACTCTAATTTCTTAGTCAAAAACAAGGATTATCCTCAAAGACAAATTATTTATTCAAGAAATGTTGTGTAGAAATATATATTTCGTTTATAATCATTCCATGTTTATACACCTCCTTACTTTAAACCTAAATACAACAACTCCATATTCATTTAGTAGGTTTTATTTCATTCATGTCCAACGACATAATACAACAACAGCACTATTTAAAGAAATTATTCCTTCAGTAGTTTGTTTGTTTGTTTGAATTTAAGCACAAAGCTACACAATGGGCTCTCTGTGCTCTGCCTACCAAGGGTATCGAAAGCCGGTTTCTAGCATTGTAAGTCATCAGACATAACGCTGTGCCACTAGGGGGCTATCCGTTCAAAGCATACATCCTTTTCATTCCTGGGGTAAAGAAATGATCGGGTCCCCTTTTTACAGAAGATAAGATCAGGCCAAGCCCCAAGCCGTCGCGGGCCCTTGGGTATTGCCCCGCGCTAGTTCCGCCTCTGGTCCTTTTCATATGTACAGTATTCAGTTTAACAACAAATGTGGAAAAAAAAAATCTTTGGGATTTGGCTCATATGGCACAGCACACACTTTGTATGCTGTAGGTCGAGAATCCAATCCAGTGTTTATCAAATTTTTATTTATTTGCTAAACAATATTTCGGATATTTTCAGTACATACATCGTAAGCGAATCACAATTTTATTCTCTAGATTATGAATAAAACATATTACGATAAATACATAATAACTAAAACAATACTGTTGCGTCAGCGGGGTCACGTGACTAGTGTCACGCCACCTGCTTTCTAGAACTATCCCGTTCCTTCGGGAGTGCTCTAGCATTTACTATATTGGGGGGTGGTCTGGTATATATAAGATGGTCACGGCGTGACGTGACAATGTGTGTGTAGACAGTGAGTAATTGATCTGCAGTCAGAGAGTATTATTGAAGTTGAGCATGTTCGTTGTTATAACGTTTGTTTTAGCGCGATTGTTGAAATTAAGTGTATCGTAAAGTT